TCATCCAGGTAGGAATGTCTCCTTTGATAGCACCTTCTTGTTCGAACAAAGCACTACAGGAAATAAACATGCCAGAGCTCACAGGAGTTTTTCCCTCTGTGTATGTTTTGCAAAAACACACACACTAATTTCAAATCTGTGACCACAGGCCGATATCATTTACCCATCATTCCTGCCATTGATTCAGCCACATGCATTCAAAGGTCTGAAATATAAACTTCTGCCCATTATCTGAGTGTAAGCTGCAGCTCAAGCTCGATCAGGCCAGAATGGCGAGCGATCTCACTCTCCTCTCTGAACCAAGGGCAGACATCTCACGGTTTTACTGTATGTCAGGAGTAAAGCTGGCCTTCATGAATACTTCATACAGTGCCATCTTCCAGCTGGTAAAAGAGAGCAGAATAAGATGAGAGCAAATTCTAGTTATAAGGATAAGGACAGAGTACATTTTTTGTCCGATAGGTGAAGGATGGGGTAAACAAGTGAGGCAGATGCAGAAATGAATAATAATAACGCTACTTTCTAGCTAAAGAGGAACTGTTTCTTAAACCCTGAGATTTAAGAGGACAATTGGGAAACAGGTAAGTGAAGCTGCACAGTTTGTCACGATCTGTCTTTGTGGTGTTTTGTCTTGTCTAGATCTGTCTTCGGTTTTCTGTCTGCGTTGTGTTTTGTCTTGTTTAGATCTGTCTTTGGTTTTCTGTCTGCGTTGTGTTTTGTCTTGTTTAGATCTGTCTGTGGTTCCCTGTCGTTAGTTTCCCTGGTGTGTCTGATTACCCGACTGTGTTCACCTGTGGTCCCTGTGTTTTCTCCTCCCTCCTCACCTGTGTCTTGTTTGTGTGATTAGTCTTGTGTGTATTTAAGTTCTGGTTTGTCTGTCTTTGTCGGTTCGTCTTGTGATTTGGCTTGTCCTCGGTGAGTGTTCTGTTCTGTCTTTGTTAGTCTAGCCTTGAAATAAAGGAATTTTCACTTTAATCTGCATTTGGGTCCTACCTGCTTCACACACCGTAACACAGTTGTTTACATACAAAGTAAGAAAGTGGTTTTCTGTGTGTACTTGTATTTTACTTTTTGTATATGATCAACGGTAATTATGCTGCATGTAAGCGTGGTCAGTGAGGAAGTGTTCCAAGTGAGCATTGTAATATACACTATTTTCAGCGCTAAGAGGACACAGAAGGTAAAGCTTTGGCTTTCTACAATACAACTATGCTCAAATATACTACTCTACTATGCTTCTTTAAATATAAGGCAGGGCATTAGTAAAGCAATATTATCAGTCCATCCTGTGCTGGCTGGCTTCGTAGCTTTTGTAAATTAAATGTCACAAAAGTAAAAGGTCAGGTAAATCAGATTTACTTTAGCTAACGACATTCACAAATGTTCTCCAACTTATATCGAGGAGAAATGCGTTAAACTTCTTTTGATGACAGGAAGAAATTCATTTTTTAAAAAGCTTTTATACAGGGTGAGGGTAGAACGATCGCAGACTAGGGTGGTATTCACAAGGGAAATCAGATTAATCATTGCTGCCACCAAAGAATCCCAGATTCCCAGAGTCAACATGCCGCAGTATGATTCTTCTTATGTTGCATGATGTGTTGACAGATACTGTTCATTTGAGAGTGATCTGGGGAAATGCTACTCATCCCGGGGGGGGGGGGGGGATCTGCAAGATTCAATGAACAGAAAGTCATAGTTTTAAAAACAGCTTTTATCATTTGGTTCATGCGTCAAGCTGTAATGCTCCTTTAACACAACTTCCAGTCCAGGCAGAGTTGACACTGAAGATCTCTTCACAAAGCACAGCTCTGACTGGTGTAACCCAGCATGAGCCCAGCATGAGCACATCATGACTAACTAAATATCTTCAACGTCAACAAATACACCTCTGTAAATCCTCAAAAATAAATTGAAAAAATATGCTACTTAAAGCTCTACTTGCCAAATCACCAAAATGCTTATAGACTACTACAAAATGTAGGCTACAATATAGGTACATTAAGGATAAAGAGACGGCACAACATTGTACTTCCTGTTTACCTTTTTACCAATTTAGTGCATTATTATGCTTGACACAAAAACGAAATATATATATACTGTATATATCAATTCATGACACACACACGCCATATATCTGAGTTTTGTATTTAATGAGGTCCTTTTTCATGCTCAATTTTATCGTGACACGATTCTTAAAATAACCCTATTTTATTTTTCCACCTACAGTATGAACAAATGGTATATTGACAGTTAAAATGAATCTATAGCGCTGTATACAGTAATTGGCTGTTTTAAAAATATATACATTTACAAATAGATGGCAGGCACACTTAACCAGTCAATCAGTCCTTACGGATCTCTATCACACACACACACACACACACACACACACACACACACACACACACCTTCCAATGTAGCACCTTTTAATTAGTCGTCTCACATCATCTGGATCATACAAGGAAGCTTGTTGCGTTCTAATGAGCTTGCAAGGCCCCATAAGGATATGGGCATACTCTAGATATCATGTTTTCGATTAGTGAAGGCTGTGCTTCATTTGATTTCTCGTGGAAATTACAGACTTTATGAACATTTTACAGTTGATTATCTTGTTTTTATCAGATGCCTCTCTGGCTTCAATTTCATGTGTACCCACAGACGGTAAGGATTTGCCTCCGTGTGCTCAGGACTAGAGCCGTGCATGCACACACTGGTGCGGCATCCTATTAGGTTTTGATTGACAGCACTGTAACAGAGAGGAGACACACACACACACACACACACACACACACACACACACACACACACACACACACACACACACACACACACACACACACACACACAGTCTCTTTGAGGTAAACGCAGCCTTTATCTGCCCACTGGTCAGCATGAATCTTATCTGGCTTGTTATGTTTTTCTTCCAATAGCCTCATTATCACGGCGAGAGAGGCGGAAGGGAGACATGTGCTTGACTCTGATCTACACATTCTCTGTTCCCCTATTAAGAGTGCAATGGATTTCCTATACTGTCACAGTGAGATAGAAAAGGATGATAGCCAGGTAAGGGTGGCCTCAAAGAGAGGAGGGTCAACAGTGAGTGAGACGGAGTCAAACACATGCAGCCTGATGTTGGTTCGGAAAAGGAACCTTTCATTTAATGAGGCATTGAGACCCAGCGGGAAAACAAGAAGATCCCCCAGGTGATACTGATGATGCTATTGCTACAGCATTGTACACAGGACTCTTTTTTAACATGAGCAATATACTTATCTCCTCCCAATACGTAGGTGAAATTTAAAGAACAACAAACCTTATTTCAAGAACTAGAAATGTCTTATAATTGATTTACTGTTTTCAGTTTTTACAAAAGCTCAGGTTTTATTAGAGCGGACCGATGCAGTATTTTTAACAGAAGGCCAGCTGCCCATAATGACTCACAATCTCTCCAGAAAAGAGAGTTCTCATTTTTGACAAACAATTGAATAAAGTGTGGTGTATATTCCCCGGGGAAAACATTTTACACTGCTGGGTGAGTTTGTGCACCAACAGTTTAGATCTTTTTGAGAAACGAAAGTATTTGGAAAGAGCATTTACACAATCATTTTTTGACTATTAGATTTTCGCTGGGGTCAAAAGCCTGAGAGTGTAAATCTATGGGAATATAATTGTACAGTAGTTTGTGGCCTTGTGGGTTCACAATTGTTTGCACACAAAGTACATTATGCTTATGTTACTTACTGTACATTCATGTCATTAAATAAAAACGTATTTTGGAGATTTGTGTAGTATTGCTACCTTTACTTAAATAAAATATCTAGCTAATCCCACTAAGAACAAGTCAAGTACAGGATATCAACCCTATGAGTTTAACAAAACAATAAACATATACATTAGATAAACATACATTCAATAATCTATAATATATATATATACATCAAGGAATCAAGTGAACTATGTGGTGAGAATATAATAATAATAATGATAATAATAATATATTATATTTATATAGCGCTTTTCTACAACTCAAAGACGCTTTACAGTATGACAAACAAGGACAGGCAAAAAAATAAATTAAATTAAATAAACAGAAAAGGCAGTCAAGAGGAAGTTGATTGAGGGGGGAGGGGGGCTTATGGGTAGACAGAGTTGAAAAGATGTGTTTTGAGGCGGGACTGAAAGACTGTGAGGGACTCAGAGTCACGAAGATCTTGGGGGAGGGAATTCCAGAGCCTAGGAGCTGCCACTGAGAAGGCTCTGTCCCCAAAGCTGCAGAGTGTGGATGTGGGAATGGATAGGGGTCCGGCTGCGGTGGATCTGAGGGACCGTGGGGGTTGATAGGGGGTGAGAAGGTTTGTGAGATAAGGGGGGGGGGGGCAGATGGTGGAGTGCTTTGTAGGTGAGGACCAGAATGTTGTAGTTGATGCGATGGGAGACAGGAAGCCAGTGGAGGTCTTTGAGGACTGGGGTGATGTGATGGTCATTACACATATATAATATAGTCATTACAAACTTGAAACCCTCACCACACTGATTGGATGAACCCCCCTGTAGGAATATAACAGTATGGTATTACTATGAAGCCAATACAAATGCCCTAAGGTACAGTAGGAACACATAAATGTACTATTCTGAAGCAGACTCATTTTAGTAATGAAATTGTCTTGATTCTGCCTGTTTGGGTATTGCCATGCGAACAATGCAAAGTGCATTTTAGTGTGTTTACCAAAACACATTAAAATATGCATTGAAATCAAACTGCATAAAGCCTGGATGAAGTTTGAAATGACAAAAAAAAACTTTAAAAAGCCCATGAAAACTGCTGTCCATCAAAACAAATAGAAATAAGCAAGCAAATCACAAAACAAGTGAATAAAAGCGATTGACAAGATCGGAAATGTCTGTCAATCACTTTTTTTTAAATAAAAAAAGCGGATTCTACTTCGCTCTACGGATGAGGCTGAGTTGGAGGCACAGGAAACACAGCCACAACTCACCTCGAGGTTTGCCTTTTGAAGCCACCACTGGAGTACCCAAGAAGACAAGAAGGGTTGGATGGACAGCGAGAGAGGCAGACGCCAGAAAACAGAGAGGAAAAAGAACAAAGAAAGAAGACAGAGCAACCAATTAAACAACCGTTTAAAGAACAGTGTGCCTTTATCTATCACGTATATGGAGAAACAGCATTGTCTTTATCTTGATTGTCAATCACGACTGCTGCAAACCCTCCGATCGTTCAACCCTGAAAGAGAATGTCCCGATTTAGCTCATCAGCAAATTGAGACCTTCCAATGTGGCACCTTTTAATTAGTCGTCTCACATCATCTGGATCATACAAGGAAGCTTGTTGCGTTCTAATGAGCTTGCAAGGCCCCATAAGGATATGGGCATACTCTAGATATCATGTTTTCGATTAGTGAAGGCTGTGCTTCATTTGATTTCTCGTGGAAATTACAGACTTTATGAAAATTTTACAGTTGATTATCTTGTTTTTATCAGATGCCTCTCTGGCTTCAATTTCATGTGTACCCACAGACGGTAAGGATTTGCCTCTGTGTGCTCAGGACTAGAGCCGTGCATGCACACACTGGTGCGGCATCCTATTAGGTTTTGATTGACAGCACTGTAACAGAGAGGAGAAACACACACACACACACACACACACACACACACACACACACACACACACACACACACACACACACACACACACACACACACACACACACACACACACACACACACACACACACACACACACACACACACACACACGCCTAGCCGATAATAAGCCATGATAAGGGAGGGTTCAATTAACACCTAGGTGAAAACCATATAGGCTTTTATATAGAATAGCCATGTATCAAAACAAAAGGAAACACAACCTAACCAACAACAAGAGCGTCACTTTTGAGACTTCCTGCCGGTAAAAACACAGCAGAGCCAAATAAACAACACAGATTGTCTATTAGAGCGCGTGTCTGTGTATTTGCGTGTGTATCCTGAGGGAATGACTCTTATGCTTCACACACACTGCTTTGCCAAATTGATGGATCTATTGGAATGCCTCCAGTGAGCCTGAAAACTTGAACAGCTCTAAGAGACAGCACCTGAAAAAAGGATGAGAGAGGAAGAACAAAGAAAATATCACTGCAGGTGGCGAGTCTGCGGGATATCAAATAATATCGTACTTTCTTTACGATTACAGATACATAAATCACAATTCCATTATCAACCAATATAGAACTGTTTTCCTTGTCTTGGCTGAGACATTGACTATAAACACGTTGAAATTAATTGTCAGGAATAGGGATACAAGCTGGAAGCTGGACACTCTTTGACTCTCAAATACAAATGTTTTACATCATGTTTGTATTATAGAGCCATCAAATCCCAATGGCCAATTTTCAGTGACTGATGGAGATGATTATGTTTTTCTATTTCTATTTCACAGGTTGCCAAGGTGCAAGATAGACAGAGTGAGAAAGAGAGAGACTGATCATTTCCTGGGATCTTTAAGGTACATTTTGACCTAACCTCTAAAATGTGTGTTTAGCTGGTTATGCAACAGTCTCAATTTTACATCAACACTAATGCTTCTATATGACCTACAGTAAACCTAGGAGGCTTGAACTCTCTCCCCTCTCTCCCCACTGGACTTTAACACCCCCACACACTCAGACACTCAAATCCAGCACCAGACACTTTTTTACGCTGGACAATCTTGCACTAATGTACATTCCCAAAGATATTGAAGTGTTATTTTGTATATATTGATTGTTGTGTTTTTTTTATCTTAATGTGTGCACATGTATAAATGTGTCTGTTGAGTGTGTATATATAGGATATACATATTTATATACATATTTATATTTTTATATTCGGATCTCTCTGTCTATACACACAAACTGAAATATTGACAATAAAGTTGACTTTGACATACAGTATATGCCACAAAACCTGTGATCATGATCATGATGACCAGCATGCAAAAGTGAAAGTTCTTTATCTGTATTTGCTTTGATTTGCAAAAGTCTTACCAGTGGCGTAACAAGGTTGTGATTGGCCCCGGTGCAAATATTGTTTTGGGCCCCCCCCCCCCATCGCCCCAAACATAAGCGCACACTGATGCGCTCACACACGCACGGACATACACAACCACTCAGAAGTAGGGTTGGGTATCGTTTGAATTTCCACGATTCTGATTCCGATTCTACTTTTCGATTCCGGTTCTTAACGGTTCTCAATTCTGATTCTTTGAGGGGCAGGGTACAAAAATTATACATGCTTCTTCCACCAAAAAAATTACATTTATTCGAGAAACTTTTACACAGGTGAGTTTACAGTAATATTCACATTAATCAGTCTGTTTATATTCACTGCTATGTAACTGTAACCTGAGAACCACTGAAGCTACAACAGTGCAACAGTCCAACTTTTAAAGAACAGTTCTTGTTGAGAAAAACAAGCATATCTGCCATATCTGGAAGAAATGTTTGAACATTTTAAAGTAAAATGCTTCAATCTGGTGCACTTTAAGCAGAATTACTAGAGACTAGATCTAGGGGGTACAACTCTAAAAACACCCATATGAAAAAGATCGGTTTACATTTGAATAATTAAATAAGTATAATGAACATAACCAATAACCTTCCATAGCCAATAACAAATAAATGTAACGTATTTTATTTTTGTTCTTCATTCATATCTTATTTTACTATTTTATTTATGCATATTTTTGTATCTCTCCAGTTTAAAACGATATGTCTGGTTTACTGTCCTATAGTATACATTGGAATGATTTCAAACCTGTTTCATCCCAATAATTATAAAGGAGTGCCTTGGAAATATGTGTTTACATAAATTGTGATCAAAACGTGTGAGACCCACTGAGATAACTTAGACTAAAGTGAACTATCTAAACACTCAGAGTCCTTTACCTCACTGAGCTGTAGTTATCAGCCTCTCAGTCTGACTGGAGAAGACTCTCCCTCCACATTATCGTAGAAACATCTTCTTCAAGTTCTAATATCCTAGAGCAGCTAGCACCAGATGCTAATAACAACAGCGCTGGTACCGGTGCACCCTCCCTTTCTCCCACGCTCACTCGCACTTTGGCGGTGAGCTGCGGTTGCCAGATAAGCCAACATCCCCCATTTTCATCACTTACAGTGCCCATCGTACAGGGCAAATGAAAAGTGTAACCGGGATGAAAAGGGTGTTACCTTTACTTAATTATGATCAAGTAACATCAAGGCCGAAAATTAGGATGAGCACCAACGGTAAAAAAAAATGTTTCCCTCCCAGAGCTGTCAGCGCAGCGCCTCGACAGATCTGGCGCCCTAGGCGAACATCTACGCCAGTGCGACGGGCCGGCCCTGGTCCCAGGTTACGCTGTAGGAAGTGTAGGTACAACGCTACATTTCCTGCCCCGCCGCAGTCATACAGTAGGCTACGGAGAGCGGCGAGAAACATTTCCTCAGGCATCGAAAAGCGGAACCGAAATTCACATTTCTAAATGATGCCGTTGGAATCGAAATGTTGGAACCGGTTCCGAACCGGAATCGGTTCTCGGTACCCAACCCTACTCAGAAGCGCCACATGTATAGGCTATCAGCAACAGCCTGCCCTGGCCTCAGACCACCACAGCCTGACAACGGCACAGCAACTAAGAATAGGATTAAACCTGTTTCCTTGATGTTTGTCTCTGGGGGATGGGCCGGTAGGCTTACATAGACAGGTTGCTATAATATAGCTTTTGATCTTGGCGTCGGGGGTCTCAATAGCGCCATAGAGTCCCCTATCGGTTGGGGCCCTTGGGGGAACTGTTGGACCACCACCGGGCACAGCCAAATCCAGCCTCTCCTCCTGGCTGGCTGGAGAAGAAGGCTGCACAGCCACGACCACAGATACAGATTCACTTGTGGACCTAGATGGCAATGATGGTGGTGAGGCAGGTGAGCTATCGATAGCCTCCGGCTCCGGCTGCCGCTGCACGTCAACATTGCTAACGTTAGCGCTCGATTTCGAGGACTATGTATGACAAAAAAAACGGTCTAATTTTGTCAGTTTAGCTGTTACATCTCCTTGTTCTCTCTTGTCCTTTCTCTTTTGAGTGCTGCTCTTGTGCTTTGGTTTGCTGTACATTATAAATGCAAGCTATTACATTTTTTATAATGCTACCGAACTTGGTGCTGCTAGCTACTGTACAGTACAGTACAGGTTGATTAAACGGTTCGCTCGTCACGCAAGGTATCACATGACATGAAAGGGAGCAAGGTCATTGGACAGACAAATTACAAATTAATTTAGGTTGCTTGGTTAATTTGAAGACTGCGTGAACCGGTCAATGCCATTGGGGCCCCAAAAAAAACGTTGATAGTTACGCCACTGGTTGCTACCATAATGGTATATCCGCACAACTCATGGGGTTAAGTAAGACACGGGGCACAATACCCAAAAATATATACAAAGCTACACAATACTGCTCCGACACAGGAATGGACACATACAGCAGCCGGTGAACATTTCCCACCTTGCTGCTGTTTCACTGGTCAAGAGGGAGAGGAGCAGACAGAGAAACGGAGCAGTGCTTGTCATATCTTCAGCAACACTTCCTTCTACATGAGACTGATGGCTTGATGAAATATTCCCTCAGCAGAGTCTGACCTCGCTTTACTCCTGCCTTTCATCCCTTCTGCCAAGGTAAGAGTTCCCTGTCATAACTGTGGATCTGTGATCTCTCCGAGTCAATACCCATGAAAAGAAAGACAGGTCCTGGAGTCCAAAGGTGTACAAAAAAACATTTGATTTGGTTTTGCAACTATTCACTTGTAACAACGGCAGAATATACAGCATATATACTGCAATAGGGAGACAGAGAGAGAGGAAGACATAACACAAGCAGTAAAGAAAATTAAAAAATGGTTGGAGTCTTATTTACAACACTCGCTCCACTTGTATCCGAGTAATACAGTTACCAGGCAACCGACACAACATTTTGGTAAATTCTGGCAAGCTGATA